CATGACCGATGATATGGAAAAAGGGAAAGTTGGAAGCTTTCTTAAATTCTAGTCTTTACTCGGTTCATGAGCTGTAGATATTCACCTAACTGTCCATAAACTATTATTATCTGATTTTTTTTTATTTAATAATTTACATGATAATGTCAATATGTCATCTTTTTTCCCCACAACTTTTTCTTGGTCATTTTTTTGAATATTAATGCATATTTACTTGTTATAGCATGTAATTCCTTATTTTCCATGTGGCATAGTCACACTGTGCCAAGAGTGATCAAACGAACATTTTGCCGAAATTATATTATATATATAGGTCAAATATTATTTTATATGATTATATATTATATTTTAAACATCTTTAACATAGTTAACCGAGGTCATCTAGCGATTCAGAGTGTTCAAAATGAGATATTGTTCACGAAATTGAATCCATATCTAAACATTTTTTGTCTTCTCATTTTGTTTGCTAAAGCTGTGCGAAGACCACCATATGTGGTTTATTTGACTCTCTTACAATCTCAAAAAAACTAATAAATAATTCTTAAAACTTAAAATTGAAGTTATTTCTAACAAAATAAATTTTATAATTTATATGTCAAGCTCTACAAAAATTTCTTCAACAAAAACTCTCTACATACTATAAACTCTCTCGATTCTCTCTTTTTTTTAAAAAAAATTTTATTCTTACTTTTATTAGTAAATTTTTTTGCCGGTTTGTTTTAAGTTTAGTTTTAATTTATAAAATTATATATTCATTACATGTGCTTTAATTGTTTAGTTAAATGTTATGTAGTTTGATTTAAAGAATTTTGGTGTGCTCATTCATCCAGAAAAAAAAATTTCACTTCCTTAAAGTTTGAAAATCCTTGGCGAAATTTTTGGTTCCGCCACTTCGTGTTACTAATATTAGTATCTATGTGCGATTATATATAGTTATCTTTTATGTGTATTGATACCATTTGATAATTGGCATTTAGAGTAGGTTAATCCTTTTCTATGACCATTTTGTTCCCTAACTACACTGCTGTGATTATTGGGAGAACTATAAAAAAAAAAAAAAAAAAAAAAAAAAAAAAAAAAAAAAAGAAGTTTCAACCCTAATAATATATTCAACTTAGAAAAGCATGAGTAAAGAATCTTTGATTACACAATTGAAGTTCACAGATGTTTCAACTTATTAGAAAAGCATGAGAAAATGAATATTTCATATTTGTAGAATTTGTAATTGTAAATTAAACACTCACATATGCTAATTTTGTGCTATCTACTTTTTCATCGTTGCATATAAATATTTTCATTCATACTTTAAAAATCTTTAAGAAAGTCATTTCCAAATTTTCTTTTAAAAATATTTGGTTTAAGGTTTTGGTAGGCACGTTATAATAAAGATGACATTTGATGGTTGTTGGACCAATTTATTTGAAGCCCAAAAGATTCATTAATTAAAATTTTAAAAAAACTATAAATTTATATATAAAACTTCATCAAAATTACAACAAATAGTAGATATGAACGTATAATTTCAAAGTTATAATTAGTGCAATATTAAAAATCTTAAAGATTGAATTAAATCCTCGATCCGCCTCTGCTTACAGGCAATGGTGCATGCATATTCCAACTTGAACTATATATATGATTAAATTTGTTTTTGAAGTATATTATATACATACTAGGTCTGATTTGTCTCAATCAAGCACGTAACAATTCTCTTAAGATCGCGTTAAGTGTGTATTTCTTACTGATAATATGGTGGGGAAGTGCACAGTTAATCACTAATTAGAGATGTCTTTACTTTTTAGTCATTGTTTAAAATGTATTTACTTTAGCCAGTGCTTAATAAATTTTTACCCGCCCGGGTGAAAATATCCCTGTGCTAGACATGAGTGTTGTGTAAATATTAAGGACATGGTGTCCTTAACTTCATGAATGATGTGTAAATATTAAGGACAAAGTATCATGTATTTGCATCTTCCGTTATTAAACTTTAGGAAATGATGTCCTTAACTTCATATGTGCAGTGTAAATTTTAAGGACATGGCGTCTTTCACTTCATGTGTGAAGTGTAAATATTAAGGATATAATGTTCTTAACTTGTATTTGCACATTCTTTTGTTAAACTTTAGGACCTCATATCCTTAACTTCATATGTGTAGTGCAAAATGTTAAGGACATGACGTCCTTAATTTTATGAGTGTAGTGTAAATATTAAGGACATGGTGTACTTAACTTCATGAATGCTGTGTAAAATATTAAGGACAAAGTGTCCTGTATTTGCACCTTCCATTGTTAAACTTTAGGACATCATGTCCTTAACTTCATATGTGCAGTGTAAAATGTTAAGGACATGGCATCCTTAACTTCATGTGTGCAGTGTAAATGTTAAGGACCCTATGTTCTTAATATTTATACAGCACTCAAGAAGAAAGGGTAAAAATATCTTTTCGTATTAATTTTAATAGAGTAATGGTTATTTCTGCTTAGCATTAAATATTAAATAAAAACTAAATTATGTTAAAAAGTGGCTATCCCACGCCATTTCTACTAATATGGTGTAAGGCTGTTTAAGTTTAACAAAGCCCAAAATATAATGGACTAATGCAGAATAACAAAGCCCAATAAAAATATAATGGACTAATGGTAAAAATAGCATGGGCTAGACTGATCATTCAAAAATAGTCAGCGTTTGCAAAATTATCGAAAAATAACCACTATTTTGCTGCAACACAGAATGTTTCAGCATAATATACTGGAGATCGGTACACCTGTGTATGAACTTCCAGCATATTATGCTGGAACTCCAACACGCGGAAAGTTTCAGGATAATATACTGGAGATTGGAGCACCGGTGCTCCAATCTCCAGTATATTATGCTGGACGTGTATATTATACTGGAATTTCAGTATATTATACTGGAGTTCCAACATAAGTATACTGGAATTCCAATATATTTTGCTGGAGTTTTTTTCGGATTTTGAACAGTGCTTTCGTTCATATTTATCTTTACATGAAAAGTGGCTAAATTTCAATTACTTTTGAAATTGTAGCTATTTTTGAATGACCGCTTGTAAATCTGGCTATTTTTGAATTTCTCCCAAATGCTATAACTCACTAGGCCTCCCTTGGGAGTTAAGATCAAACCTTTTGTTCTTTTTTTCACAACTCAATAGTAGTAAAATTTAAGATTTAGATATAACAAGAGTCGTTTGGTACAAGGTTTAAAGATAATAATTTTGGGATAGAAATTGAGACGTAATGCAATTCCAAACTAATTAACCTATTAAATCTTTTGAAGATTAGCGGAGGAAGTGATGTGTGGCTATAATTATGTATTTTAAGTGCATTACTAACTTTACATTTATGTGCTTTAATGCTAAACTATACTATATTTGTGTTTAATTGAGTTATTTTATGTGTAGGTATATTGAAGATGAAATTATGAGCAAAACGAATATTTTGGAAGAAAAAGTGTAAACGAAGTAGTGAGCAGGCAAGGCAAGCTTTGTAGCTCGTGCTAGAGTAGGCGAGGCAAGCTTTGTAGCTCGCGTTGGAGCAGGCGAGGCGAGGCATTTTGCTTGCTATAGAGCTATCACCGCGAGGTGTACGCGGCAGCCCTCGCGTCGCCAGGTATTCGCGTGGGGGAGCTCATCTAGTGAGGTAGGTCTCGCGGCAACCCTCGCGTCGCACGCTTCTCAGCTCTTTGGCTCGCCAGCAGCCTCGCGTCGCACGCTTCTCAGCTTGCATGTGAGCTCGCCTCGCCAGGTATTTGGCTCGCCAGCAGCCTCGCGTCGCCAGGTAGGTTTTTTCTTTTATTTTCTTTTTGTTTTGTTTCTTATAACTCTTCCCCATTAAAACCTAACTTAAAAAAATTCACTGAGGACAAACGCCTCAAAATATCAGTATTCTATAATCCGGGAATCCAGGATTTGAGGCTTATAGGTTCCTACTATAATTGTAAATTAATATGCAATAAGCTAAGTTCATAGTTAGATATTTATTAATATTTAGTGAATTTCTTAATATAAATAGAGGCAGTGGCGTATACAGGATTTTGAGTTCATGGGTGCTTAACTTTTTTTGACGTAAAATTACTACTAATACATTGTATAAGTATGCAACTATTTAAATATGGAGATAAAAAAATTAATGAGAAAACTATAGTACATATATGAACGACGCCCCAAATATGTGATGAGTAATACAATTTACGGTTCTGGAGGAATCCTTGGTTTTTAAAAACTCATATTCTTTTCTTTCTTTGCTATGGTGAATTAGATAAAGTAACAAAAGAAAGTTAAAAAAAAAAGGTAAAACAAAGTTAGAACCAAAAGAATAAAAGTAGTAGTATTTGATAAACAAAAGTCGCTAAACAAAACTTAAAGAGCAAAATAGAGACCTGATAATTGGAGCAAAAGAAAATTAGTGCTTGATAAATGGAGGAAAAAGTCTAGCTAGGAACGTTAGATTCAATCTCTCGACCATAGGCTTTTAGAGCCTTCAACACCCATCATAACCAAAGCACCCACCAAGTCTTTTGTTATCTAGGTGCTTGCTATTTTATTATATCCCTTTTATTAAATTCTCTATATAATTATACGTATTCGGGGTCGAGGTTAACGGGTGCTCGAGCACCCAATTTTTATATGTAGATCCGCCCCGCCCCTGAATACAGGATCTATGCAAAAGTTACTGGATTTCTGAAAACCCATATTTTTTACTCTAGGTCTAGGTCTGCCCTTGTCTATAATGATGTATAGAATACTTTTAATCAGAGCCTCTTCAAGGGCTAGCTTGTCTCCTCAATTGATTAACGTCAAGAACACAAACAAAATATAATTAAGACATAGTAAAAGGATTTAGTTAAACTCACAGAACCCTTTAAGGAATGGTTACTCGTTAACCAAACCAAAAAGGGACGAGCAAGTGTTAAGTAACCAAACCAAAAAGGGACGAGCAAGTGTTAAGTAACCAAACCAAAAAGGAATGAGCAAGTGTTGAGTAACTTAACCAAAAAATTCAAGTTGATAAATAGAAAGAAAAAAAATCGCAAAATAACAAGAACAAGATAGGGTCTCATTCATTCATCAGCACGGTAAAATGGTGACTACAATGGGCCCAAAGGGCCTCATAGAGGCGGTCACCGGCAGGCTCATCTCAAAGCTGAAATGAAGAAAGTAAAGTTCTTGCATTTTTCAACCATAGTTGGCTTTTCACTCCACCTAATTTGGCAAAGCGTTCTCTGGGAAAACCAGACGACTGCTCCTGAAAGATAGATGAACGCATAAAATAACTATTCAACATATGCGCCAGAGCGATTAAAACGAGAGCGTCCCTTTCACCAGGAAAAATAACCCATTTATGATCAGGGTCCCCTGGCTGACATAAAGTTTCAACATAAAAAAAATCGCCCCGTCTGGGACACGTTGACCGTGTTGAAATCAGGAATATCCAAGATTTGAAGCTTATCAACTTCTATAACGAACTCAAATTAATAATTATACAATAAAATTTGAATTCATGAATTATTTAGTACACATACATGGTCTGAGCAATCGATTACAAGCTAGATCCGCCTCTGATTACTCCGTTCTAAATCTGCTTTCGTGTGGCGTACCTGTACATCCAATAGAAAACAAAAGTTGCAGTAGCACCAAAACCTCCAGAGACAAAGAACCCTAAAAGGATCAAGAAAATTGATATCATAGCAGGAACAAGAAGAGGACTGAACATCAGCAGCAAAGGGGTGGCGACAACTAGGAAAACGACGGTGGCCGCCAACGTTAAGCCGCAAAGAACCAAGAGTGAACCACTCAATGTGATGGCTGTTGTAGTCCTGGCCACTCGATGCGAGCCATGGCGGGGTTGATTATTCTGAGACATTTACATTTATGTTAAGATGAACGGAAAGAACTAAGAACTAAGAGCTATAGTGACGAATCCAACAATGAGTTCGCGAATTCCTCTATTACTGATTTGACAGAACTCAGACTTCACCTCAAAATCTTAAGAGTCAGTGACGAATTCAACAATGAGTTCGCGAATTTCACTGTTACTGATTTGATAGAACTCAGACTTCACATCAAACCTTATATATATGTATAAAAAAAAATAAAGATAGATTAATTTAGACATATCTATACATTTGAAAACTCCCTCCCTCTGCTCAAAATTTATAACATTTAAAATCTGAATCCCCATCTAAATAAAGTAGAGTATATATAGAGAGTGTAGAAGTAGATGGGAAAATGTAATTCATGGTTGTTGTCAATTGAAAGGAGAAGAGATTGTAACGTGTTGAGTTTTCTGAGTTTGCATGTGAAATAGGTTCTTATTTGCTTGACACTTACCTTTCATACCTGCCATAGACCGACTGAAAGAGAGTCGGGACGTTTGGCCTTGAAAGCATTTCGAGGCGATACTATCAACAAATCTTTCCAAGAAAAATTAGTACAGTATATAGGGGTGATAATTTGAGTCCAAAATCATTTGATCTGTTCAATCCGTTTAAGGTTGGGTCGGTCATTGACCTATTCATTTGTGTTAAAGAAAAAATGACACTATATAGCTACTCTTAAAATAGTAACTGAAAAGGTATATATTTTTTGTATATATACACACACACATTCTGTATATTATATACAAAAATTATACAAATTTTATATATTTTTCTGGCTATCGAATATAAATAGTTTTTGGCGCGAGCTAAAAGTGAAAAAAGCCCTTTGTTAAACTCGCACATCTTGATCTAGTCCATCTCAACCCATCTATAGTTTGAATGATTTTTAGCCCAAAATAATACCTGAGTAACTTTATTAAAATATCTTTAAAATAGTTTTTTTTTGGTTTTATATGTTATATATGACCATAACAAAAGAAAAATATCTTATTTGATAATTAAATAACTCATAAGAAAATAACACATATTAATTAAAGTTTGATAAGAGTTGGCCGGGTTGGGCTATGACCAAATTTTGGCCTATCTTGACCAGCTCAAGTAACTTATACCGGCCCATTTATTGAGTAAAAATAGCACGGGCTGACCAGTTTTCGGACTGGTCATTCAAAAATAGCCACCATTTGCTAAGTCATTGAAAAATAACCACTATTTTGCTGCAACAGAGACCGGTCCAACATAATATACTGGAGTTCGATGCATCTGTGTATGAACTTCCAGCATATTATGCTGGAACTCCAACACATGGAAAGTTCCAGCATAATATACTAGAGATTCGAGCACTTGTGTATGAACTTCCAGCATATTATACTGCATCGGTATACTTTACTGGAACTCCGGTATATTATGCTGAGGTTCTAGTGTACATATGCTGGAACTCTAGTAATTTAAAGATGTTGTTAATAATTTTGTCTGTCTCGTGCTTAAAGATGCATTTAAGTAATTAAGTCAAGGACAATCATTTGAAGATTTGCATCTTAAAGATTTACTTTTCAGAGCTTTAGCAGAAAAGGAAGTAGGGAAAAAAATGGCATACTAGATAGCTGGGGATAACTCATGTAGAGATGGCAATAGGGTAGGGTGGGGAGGTTGCGGGGCCGGTTCAACCTCAACAAATTTTTTAGTTTTTAACCCGTCCCGCCTCGGCCCGCATAAACCCACACCTCCCGTCAGTATAGCAAAAGTTTTTTATTTTTTTCAATTTTATTGAGTAATTTAGCCCTATTATTGTATTATGTCTAAAGCTTTCCTTTCTTATTTACATACATAAAATTATGAGAAAGAGAAAATAATAGTTCGATCTATGGGACAAATTCAATTAAAAATTATCAAAGACTTTGTTTAACAGTAAATTACCCTTATAAATAGTGTACAAGAAGAGTAACACTCTATTTAGCTAAACTTTTAAAAATTGCTTACTTTGAGAGAGTTTCCAAAAAATACTTTCGTGAGACAAACATTTTGTGTCTAGCTAAATCACTTTTAAAAAAAAATACTCCTGTTAGTATTAGATGAGTAACTTATATTAGACCAATTTTCGCAAAAATATGCTTTTGAACGTCAAGTTATCTAGAGAAAAGCAATTTATATATGTAGAGAAAAGTAACGAATTCACGATGGTACTAGTCAAAAGTACCTCACCCGCATTATGTTTTAAAAAAATGTTTGCACCTGCCCCGCAACCGTCTCACACTCGCATAAGCCTAAACCCACCCCACCCTGCATAAGCTTAACCTGCTCCGCCCGCACCCGTTCCACCCTATTGCCATTCCTAAACTTATATACTCCCAAGGAGATAGCGGACACCCCATTAATTTAATCAAGGCATACATAAGCTATATCCGACACTATAATTATTAAATAAATAAAAAGATAGATCATTCTGTCATGCTTGGTGTAATCAGGGGCAGAACTACCATGGCTTTGTCTTAAGAACTCTTTTGGCAATATATAGATTTGTAATCAGGGTCGGAGCCACCGTTACAAGTTCTGTATAATTCAGTAACTTTAGCTCAAACCTTATATTTTTATTAAAAAGTTTATTTGATATATTTAAATAATCTATTTAGAATCCAATACGCACCCATAAACTAAAATTTTATTTTCGCTTATGTCTGTAACAAATGATTAGGAGGGTAAAAAAAATATTTAGCCGCCTGGCTTAAAACGTTAAGCTCCTAAAGTTAAACCCTTATTATAAAATGAAAATAATATGACGGCAATGTAGACTTGAGAAGGATTGTTTTTGAAAAAGGAACTCAAGTCAAAGTTATGGATAATATTTATCGTATTTTGCTTTCTCAAAGAAAGTAAACAAGCCAGTCCATCAAAATATGTTTTACAAAAAGGATCGAATATTATAAGGTTAATCATACAATGATTACTAATGATTGGAAAGGAGGCAACAATGTTGAAGCTTCTTAGCTTTTACTTTTGTAAAAATAGCACGAGCGAGCTATTTTTCGGACTAGTCATTCAAAAATAGCCAATATTTACAAAATTATTATAAAATAGCTACTATTTTACTATAAAGCATAATATATTGGAGATCGGTGCACCTGTGTATGAACTTCCAGCGTATTATGCTGGAACTCCAACACGAGAAAAGTTCCAGCCTGATATACTGAAGATCGGAGCACCTGTGTATGAACTTCCAACATATTATGCTGGACCGGTATATTATACTGGTACTCCAATATATTATACTGAAATTCCAGTATATTATGCTAGAGTATTTTCCGGCTTTTGAATAGTGTTTTCGTTCAGATTTATCTTTACTTTTCATTGAAAAGTGGGAAATTTCGATTACTTTTGAAATAATGGCTATTTTTGAATGACCACTTGTAAATCTGACTATTTTGAATTTCTTTCTAATTGAATTTAAAATACATATCTTAACAACGTAAAGTATTTTAATATTATAATAAATATAATTCAATCAACAAAAAAGTCCAAATATACCCTCGAACTATGTGAAATAAGAGGATATGTCCGTCATTAATATTTCGGTACAAACATGCTTATGCGGTCCAATATTTGCTTCAAATATATCCTTAATTTAAACGGTTCCATATGGAGGACATATTTGATCACAGGTGTATACTTTGAGGGTATATTTACTCCGTCAAAGTTATTAAGCATTTATATATGGGGAATCTTACATAAATATCCCAAATAAGTTTCAACTTACCAACATCTAGCCATTAATCCTACACTTTCCAAAACTAGTCAAACACATATAAAAATTAAAAACTCAAATAAATAAGGTTCTTCCTCTCCAAGAATCACATACAAAGATCTCCTTCCATATTTTTAATCGTGATCAACAACATTAAATGCAAGACAGAAAGAAAAATTTATGGATGAGGTAGCAAACAAGGTGATGAAATATAAAAAATATATAGACAAGATTCTAAAAATCTAAGCAAAAAAGGACCATTTCCATTGGGTATGGTTGAAATTCATTGAAAACATATAGATGAGTCAATATACAAATTTTGAGGAAGATTGGAAGTGATCTGGACTGATTTGGTATCCAAATTCATAGATAAAATCGAGTTAAAAAAAATCTTCTGCGATACATGTATCACACATAGATATACATGTGATACACATTTGATACAAATATGATACACAGTGTGATACACACATTATTTTTTCATGTTTCATCTTCTACATCGAATTTACAATTCAAACCACCTCAAAACTTCGTCAAATCATCCAAAAACTGAGATTCAAACTCCTTAAGATGTATTAAATCTATTCTAATAACACTCACTCAAAAAAAAAATCAAAATTTTGACCTTATTTTAGTTACACATAGCTAATTGGCCAATATTGATAATATTTAGCTAATATTAGTAATATTTAATAAATTAGCTAATTTTTGTAATAAACTATTTATAAATGGATATAGATGGTAATTTTCCTTTGAATTATCTTATTTGGTTTATGGCAACGTAATGGAAGTTTATAATTATAAAATCCTCTCAACTCAGATTGTTTTCTTCTGTAAATCTTAAATACGAGCAAAGAAAGGCAAAGTCTTAAGAGGGCGTTTGGACATAAGAATTGTAAAATTTCGAAAAAAGTAGATTTTTTTTCAAGTAAAAATGATATTTGAAAATTTGAGTTGTGTTTGGAAATTAATATAATTTTGGATTGTTTTTGAATTTTTGTGAGTGATCTGAAGTGAAAGTTTTGAAAAATAGCTTATTTTGAGTTTTTCAAATTTTCGAAAAATTCTGAAATTTATTTTCAAGTGAAAATCGAAAATTTCATGGCCAAATATTAATTTCGAAAAAAGTGTAAAAAATTCGAAAAGAACCTTTTTTATGGTTAAACGTCCCTAAATCATTGTGTTGGAACAGAAACTTATACAGTTGCTGGCAATTTGGGTTCCCTATCGATGCGTGTAGGCCTTCGTCAAAGAAAGAAGGGGAATCACAAGAAATTTTTATAGACCTAGATTTAATTCCATCGATGAATCATTCGAGAACGAATTTAGCGAGACTAATCTAGAATTCAAGTTTTTTTTCTTTTTCATTTTCCTTGCAATTTATAATACATTAATGGGACAAAGACCAGAAACTCTTCGTTAAATGTGGCTCATAACCGGTACCGGTGCAGTGAGGTATTCCAGTTGAGATTCCTAGGTTTTTGTACACTTTACTTTTCTTTGATCCTAAATTATGCTTTTCTTTGTTCCTAAGCAAGTGTATCATGGTCTTTCTATTTATTCTTAATTAAAAACTTTTATAAGCGTAATAATATTATCAATTATTTTAAAAATCTTTTTTTGAGTCACGTAATTGAGATGAAGAGAGTAATAAATGTTATTTTAAACGAAAAATTTAATACATTGAACAAATTCCTCAATCCTACCGAGAAGAACAAATTTCTACGAGGAGAGGAAATGAAATAAAATATTGAACTCAACCTGTTCATGGAATTGTACAATTTTGAAATTCCCAAATTAACCCTCAGCTGTATAGTTGGGCAACCTTCTTCGTCCTCTTCGTCGAAATATTTTCCGACGACGACGAGGAAGAACTCTCCGGCGAAATTGACGACCTCTTCGAACCAACCCGAACCGGTTCCGGTTCACCCGAATTAACCCTCAACGGAAAATTCAACACTGCACGCGATCCCCGAATTCGATACGCCGCCTTGTCATACGCCAACGCCGCATCCTCCGCCGTCTCGTATGTCCCTAACCAAACCCTAGCTCCGTTCTTCGCTGGATCCCTAATTTCCGCCGCAAATTTTCCCCACGGCCTCTGCCTTACTCCCCTGTAACGCTCTGCTTTTTTCGGCGGCGGCGGCGCAGCCGTGAATGCGGTGAAATTACTCATTTCCGGCGAACTAACGCTAACTTCAGGTTCTGTTTTGACCGCAGATTGTGTCGGCTCGTTAATGTCATTGTTGTAAATATACATGTTTTCTCTGTCATTTTCTAAGAAATTAGTAAATTCAGGCTCGATTTTGACTGCAGCAGCTGAATGCTCAATAGTGGCATTATTGTAAATAAACATATTTGCAGTGTCATTTTCGCTAATTGCGAAATTATCAAAAGTATCAGAAAAGAAATTAGGAAATAATTTGTTCTCAATGTTTTTGCTTTGGCAATTTGTAACAGGAGATTCCCAGTCTTCAAGTAAATGTTGTTTAATGAATTCAAGAAGGGTAAAATCATTCAAAAATTCACTGTTTTCAAACATCATTTTTGCTGAAAGAAAAAAGAATTAAATTTGGAAATTGGGATAAACAATTCAAAGTGAATTATGAGTTTTTTGGATGAAAAAGGGTTGATGGGATTTATATATATTGAAAGAAACTAAATAGGGAAATGTGGTTTGTATATTTGAGAGGGAATAAATTTTGTAGAAAATAGAGAGAAAAATGAAGAAACTGAGTTTTATTTGGAAGAGAAGGTTGAATGGGTATATATATGAATTGTTAGAAAAGGTGCATGCACGTAGCTGATTCCTTTCATGATTTGAGTTATTAAATAAATATTTTTTTGGAAACTTTGTTGAGGTTCGATGAAGTTTCTATGTGGAGAAAGGTTAAAAGAGTTTGGTAGATGAGGACTGCATTCACGTGCGTATAATTTAGGAATATGGTAAGCAGTGAAGTTGACAAGAGGGGTTGCTCTAGTAGTAAGTATACTCCACTATCAATCAAGAGATTGTGAGTTCGAGTCACCTTAAGAGCAAGATAGGAAGTTCTTGAAAGGAAGGATGTCGAAGGTCTATAGGAAACAGTCTCTCTACCTAGGATAGGGGTAAGGTCTGCGTACACACTATCCTTCCCAGATCTCACTAGTGAGATTATACTGAGTTATTGTTGTTATTGTTGTGGCAAGCAGTGAAGCCTTAATTTGAGTTTTACTTGCCATTTTTCATATTACCTTCGAGTTATATATGGACTAAAGCGCAGCCCGATGCATTAAGCTCCAGTTATGGGTGGGTTCCGGAAAAAGGTCGGACCACAAAGATTTATTGTACGCAATCTTACCTTGCATTTCTACTAAATGTTGTTTCCATCAAGGGCGGATGTATAGCCTAATTCACGGGGCACGTGAACACATAGTCTCTTTGTCAAACTAGGTATTTTATGTATATATTTTCTAAAATTTATCTAATATCATCTGCTGGCACCCATGCTCCAAAGAGGCTAAATGGTGCAATTGGTTGAATGTTGAATTATTTACCTAAAGGAGCAAGTATCTTTTTCCATTTAATACTTTCTTTTTTCTCCTTCTTTTAGTGGTGCACCCATGTTATAAAAATCATAGATCCGCCTCTGGTTTCTATGGTTCAATCCAATAACCTCCTGGTTACTACTAAACCACAAAGTATCAAGCTTTTTGTTAAACTAATTAATAGGGAGATTAGGGGTAAATCTTAGCCAAAAATAATTCATTCAAGGTCTAAAATAGAAGATAAGAATAAGCAAGCATAGCTGGACATAAAATTTAACCATGACCATGATTGAATTCCGTTGTATGAGAGATGGATAGAGATTTACATAATATTGAATAATAAGGAAGAATACATAATTAAAAGTGGTCACCAATCTTCAACGAGGTTGACCCTCGTACATTTGGTATGATGAGACTAATGCTATATATTGATGATTTGAGCTTCCTTGCTTAGATGAAGGTCCTTCCTCTTTGAAAATATATCTCTGTATGAGTTTGTTTTTCAGCCCCTCTTTCTTCTTCCTTTCACACAGTATATACTAGGCGTAGACCGCACTTTCCTGGTTTCTCATAGTTATTATAACAAGGATATATAATTCAAAAATAATTGAATTTAAATTATATATTCTAATAGCTAGTATAATTTTTCTGGAACTATCAATATATTTTAATTTATTGTAACCGACTAACATTTTTTATCAACCTGTCCAATTGTCTTCAAGATGACTTGATATATGTTGTTGTCGTGCGAATTTACTGGGTTTATTATTGTTGTTATTTATCAATGATGACTAATGTTTCTGAATCCTCCTCCTAGTTTTTAAAAAGTATATGTATGTACCTTAAAAAGTACACTAGGGATCGTTTTGTCGGGAAATAAGTTATCCCAGGAATAATTATTCCAAAATTAGTTATCCCGAGATTATTATCCCACCCTCCTATGGGGATAAAAATAATATTACAATCTCGGAGTTAGTTATACCGTAATTTTATCTCAACCAAACATGGAATAAACTCATCTCAAATTTAATTTCAGAATTAATTATCTTTTATTCCTCGTAGCAAATGAGCCCTTAATAGCCTCTTAAGAAGTTGCCTTTTTACTCTTCTATTTATATACAATAAAAAGTTAAATTTAGTTTTCGCCTTTTGATATAAATACTAAAATACAGGTTAAGTGCTCATAAACGAAACTTATCTAATGAAAGTGCTATCACATTTTATCCTCCTATTTAACTAAAAGAAAGTTCTAATAAAACTAAAAATATATTACTATAAAAAGAAATATTCAAAAAAAGTTAAAGCTGTTATAATCTTTTTATGACCAACAAATATATTTGGAAATTCAAACTTGGAGTACATGTTTCGTATTTTGACTTTGACTCAGAGATGTGGAATACGTCTTCAGTTGTTTCTACTTTCTATTATTAGCTGATAGAAAGAAATATTCTATTCTAAAATAGAAAGAAAACAGGAGAGCAGTCACTACGTGCCAAAAATTGTACACGTGCATTTTTTAAATAAATCAATGAAAATTCCAAAATTAAAATTGAATTGAGAGTTTTTGAAGATAAACATTGGTACCAAAATAATATTTTATGGAATTTTCAAATAAGGAAATGAGGAATAAGGTGTTATTGCTGTTGCGGAAGCCAAATGTATATAGTGCGAATAAATCACAACTACTATACCAAAAATTATGACAGCCACCAAATAATAAATAAGACAGTAAAACAACA